TGGGTGTATTATTAAATATTTTTTATTTTATTTTAGAGTGTTTATTGGTATTAAAAAGTTACTTGCACTTATTGATATGGTACGACAAACTGAACCACAGCACCGCGCCATTAAATTCCTTTCAAAAATGGAAGAGGAGGGCGGCTTAGATATGGTTCGACAGCAGTAACCATTCAGAACTGAATTAAACATGGCAGTTGTTGATGTAAACGACGTATTTTAACTTGTAAGTGCAAAATATTTAATCTCTTATATGATTACCAACAAACACATACATATATATATGCTTTTAAAAAAGAAAAGTACTTATAACAAAATATTTAATGGCAAGTATAGAGTACACGTAGAAATACCTGATTATACTTAAGAATTAATTATGCACCACATAAGATAATAGGGCATAATTGCAATAATTAAAGATAAATGCTTTCCAATTTTCAATATAAATTATATTAACGTTTTAGCTAACATTTTAAGCATTTATTTAAAATATGTTTGTTCATGTCGTTTAATATAACTTATGTTTAAATTTATAATGTATGTAGTTGAATTTTATTATAGCAAATATTTTAATTTGCTTACAGTTATATTATAAATTATTATTAGTTTAAATACTGTACACACACTATGTGTAGATATTTAAAACAAAATTAAAAATTACTTATAAATGTTATAAATTATAAAGTTTCGATTGTCTACCCTGAAGCACTCTTCTTTATAACAGAAGAATTCCCTTTAGCTTCTTTTTCTTTCAAAATTTTCTTTTGAAAGGAAAATATTCAATTAATAAAGATTGAAGAACTTTCTATATCTCACTATAACACCATCTTTCAATATACGTTATTGTAATATGTATAATAAACTTCGTTTATTATTAATTTTTAAAAATAAAAAAGTTATTGTAATTTTTTATTAGGCAAATTTTATTTAAACCTAAGTAACAGACAATTTTTGCTAGAGCAAAAATAGGAACCGTACCGAAAAAGATATATATCAGCTTATAGTACTTCACTATATTGTTTGATACCTTCAGCTCCAGCGCAAGAACAGATTTAATTTATAAAAGCAGTTTGTTTTTTTTTTTATAAAATAAATTCATTAAAAAAAACTAAATAAAACATTTTAATCATAACAAAATAAAAAATAATTTCGGTAATCAACGCCAATCAACGATAACGATATTTTTACCAAATCCAAAAACGAAAACATTCTGATATATATTAATATTTTTTTATTGAACTGAATGAAGTTCCCAACTTCAAGTCCTGATTTATATCAATCGAAACTTTATACTTTAAATATTTTTGTATATTTAAATTTAATTAAAATTTAAGACATTCCAAATATGTAAAACATGACAAAGAAAAATTCAAGCTTATACTAAAACGATTTATAATTCTTAATAATTTCTTTATAATTTGATTTAATTAAGAAGAGAAATTTACTAATTAGCGAATAAATAAAAAATCTTAAGTTAATGAATGGCCATAATAATAATAAATAATTATTATTATTTTAATTCGTTTTGTATCTAGAATATTCAAAAATATTTATTCAATTAATATTTCAAAATGTTTTCCAATAATAAATTATTCTAGATATTTTCACATATTGTTATTGTAAATTTTTTTTATATATGTACATTATTCTAAAATATTTATTAAATTGTTATTATTATAATATAATTTAACATATAATTTTTTAATTATATACTTACCTATACTATATGTAGTATAAGATATCCTAAAGAAATTTAAACTTAGTTAATTCTCATATTTTAAACAAGTTCGCTTCACTAATCTCTAATACTAATCTGCTTATTTCGGAATTATATAATAAATTTATATATGTGTAGTTATATTTTATAAATGTATAAATATATATATATATATATATATATATTTATATAAATGTAATATATATATATATTTTTATATAAATATATTATGAATCATGTATACAACATATATATAAATACATATATACAATTATATGATTTATTCGAGCAATATCAATTACTAGTTATTTATTAATATAAAAACTTTAAAATTTAAATTAATATAATTATATACAGCTATATACAAAAAAATTATTAAAATTTACTCAATAGATGTATTATTAATTAATTCGCTGTTTAAACTAAATAAATTAGAAACAAAATTAAAAAAATAAATTCATTTTAATGATATATGAAATCGTATATTATTTACAAATATTCTAAAATTAAATATATTATAACACCACACTATTCGTTATTAAATCATTGTTATTAAATTAATTAAATAAATTATCAAAAAACAAAGAAATGTATCGAATATTTGATATGATTGATGATATATGATTAGAATTGAAATTAATTAAAAAAAAGGTTGGTTAATATGTAAGATTTAACATTACTAAAGCAAATATTGTTAAAGATAATTCAATTATTTTAAAATAAGTATATATAAATATATTATTATATTAACTTAATTATAATAATTATGGTAATAAAAACTGTTAAAAATATATAATTGTTGTTTAAATTTTTATTTAATAGAATAGAATTTTAAATTTAAAAATACTGGACTTTCTAAAAATACTCCGCCTCCTTATATTATTAAAACAAATTCCATTTTTTTTGTATTATACAATATATAATAATATTTTTATAAAATATTAATATTATTATTATAACTTATTATTATTATGACGATACTGACACGAAAGGTGTGGGTCGAATACATGGAGACAGACATAGACATTTGTTACTATACCTTAGGCTGATGGTAAGACTGTAGAAAATGATGTAGTAAAGCTTCACGATCTCTGGTGAGTGGCTGCCCTGTATTCTGCGATCTGGCGATCCACCCCATAATCATATTTCTCATTTCGGTTTTTATAAAGTCATGCGGATACCCATTAACCAGATAAAGGGTCTTGTAATGCAAAAGATCGGTATGTACAAAAGCATCGCTGGTCCGAAATAGCACTTTACGTAAATGAGAAATTATGGCGTTACGTTTAATTGCAGTGGATACATGGGAGGTGAAATGCACCGTACGCAGCGACTCTGAAGGCTTATGATGAACGGATAAGAGGAAGGAAGATGATGTGCGCATTATCCGATAATCCAGATATGTCACGAAGGGATGACACCCGACATTAGCATCTAAACGTTCAACTTCATAGGAAACATCATATTCAGTCATCTGAGGAAACAAGCGCATAAAACTAGACACGCAAGATTGATTCATGTAAAGCAGCACATTGTCTACACACTTCCACCAGGCAAAAATACTATGCGACAAGAACAAAGTACTGTGGTGTAACTCAATCCGGGAATCGAGATATAGAGTGGCAAGTATTTCAGCGGCATCACCATCTTGTGATAACGTCTCCATTTGGTGATATAAGTTACCATCAAATGTAAAATAATTCCCCAAATTCAGAATGTAGTCCAGCAATTGATGTAGCAACTTGACATCGATTGGACAGGCACTCTGGAACCAGGACTGCTCCATACAGTACTGTAAAACACGCCATAACGATGTGATGCGTGTATCAGTATATATATCCTTAATTTTCATAGTCACTAATACGTATCCGCGACGTGGTTTAATCTGCAGAAAATGGTCGGTTAGATGATCTATGTCGAGTATATTGTGTGAAGATAAGCGACCTTTTAAGGTAGTCTGCAATATGAATTGACACAACTTATGCAACGGATTTGTATACCAATTTATCGAACTGCAAATAGGGTGTATAGGATGGTCGAGTTTATGTGTTTTTATAGTTCCATATAAATATGGAAGGGTTGGCTTCTCATTAATGCGTTCTTCTAGCTCTTTATGAATACCTTGGGGATAAGGGTTTCCATCCTTATAGATACGGCACAATGAATTAAATATTTCATGATAGTGTACACCCAACTTACGAACCAATTGGCCTACATCATCGCAATATTTCACACATTCACCTCTGGCGATGTAAGAATCAAGCCAGGCATTCACTTTTGAGATATAGTTTTGTTTGGATATTAGGATTGTTGTACTTCCGTTATCCGACTGTACCGCTAGCACATCCTTGTGCCTGTGTAAGAAATCGAGGGTTATGTGGAACAGGTATCTTAACATATGATGGAATCTTGTAGGATTTTGATGTTTAACCATAACTTCGAGAAACTTAGTGAAATGTTCCTCCATTTGTAACTTGCAGTAAGCACTTAGATCTTCGCAGGCCTCTATGTAAGCATCATGATCAGTGCACAAGATTGTATAATAGTCCTGGATGGTAGGGGGAGTTATTGGGCAATACTTTGGCCCAAAACTCAACAGGATTTCTGCCTCTTCAGGTACATATAGAGCGGTTAAATTTAAAAAGCCACCTGGGATTACACGTGGATACAAATCACGGTAGCATGGTATAGAGACTGATGTGACCAACCGGGGGGTTGTTGCTTCTACAGCACTTGTTAGGAAACGTGATAAACTAGTAGATGGTGGGCGGATGGTGACTGTTGGTACTGTAGAAGAGCTGTTTGTAATTGGTACATTAATCCAGAAGGGCTGCACAAAACTATCTTGGTGGACTATATCATTTCCGGACACATTATTGGACATCCGGGCACGATCATGATTGTCATTCATATTTTCCAAGGCAATGGATATGTCGTTCATATGGTGCGCTAAATAAGTACAAGAATATATATAAGAATAACAATATTACGATATCACAATTACAAATATATAAAATAATTATGCATAGATATATGGTCTTTATAATCACAAATATTAAAGGGGATGCATAGTACTGAATATGGACAACATTATAAAGTTTTAAATATGAAAAAACAAATAATTTGGAAATACCTGCATCTGGATCTTTTAAAGCGTCACCGCAAAGGGTGCCAGAGGGCTCACTAATTTGTGTTGGTGGACGATTAGAGATATCACCACAAAGGATACTACTGGGTTCAGCACTTAGCACTAAAAGAATTATAAAAATAACTTTTTTTACATATACACAATGACAAATGACGAAATATATAGTAATAAATAAGTTATATAAGTTAATAAAATACTAGATAATGATAATTTTAAAGTCAAACTTATATAAGATTTTACATATGGAGGTAGTAATGGATAAACAAATGAAATATAAGTAATAAATATAAAAACATAAATAAGAGTAAAAACAATAGAAAATAAATATAAGAAAAAATGAAAGAAATAAAAAAAGAGAAAGTAACAAAAATATAAGAAAAAGAGAAAGAATTACTAACAATGAAGATGAAAAACGAAACCACAAACAAACGATAAATAATAATATACAGAGACACAAAAATAATATTAAATATTAATTAAACAAAAGTAAAATGAAACAATATTATTAATTAATATTTAAAATATAAATGAAAATGAAGATAATGATTAAAAACAAACGATTTTTAAAAAATTAAATATAAGATATAAAAAAATTAATTATAATATATAAAAAAATAAAATATAATATATAAAAACATAAAATATAATATATAAAAAAATAAAATATAATATATAAAAAAATAAAATATAATATATAGAAAAAGTAATATATAATATATAAAAAAATGAAATATAGTCTATAAAAAAATAAAATATAATATATAAAAAAATAAAATATAATATATAAAAAAATAAAATATAACATATAGAAAAATAAAATATAATATATAGAAAAATAAAATATAGTATATAAAAATGTGAAACGTAATATATGATTAATGAAATATTAATTAAAATAATTTTGGTGACAATAAGTAAACATATAACAAACATATAACGAGTAAACAATTAAAATAGTGATAAAGAATAGTTAATATAACAAAAAAAAATCGATATGAACTATATTAATGTAAAACAATTACAAGGTGATAATAACAGTACAGTAATGCCCCCTATAACGCGAAACTAATTATGAACTGTACAAATCCCCGCGTTATACAGGGGAATACCTGTCTTATACGAGGGATTGAAATGGCATAATATGAAAACGCGTTATAAGGGTACCGCGTTGTAGGGGGATTACTGTATATAATAACTACTTACAAAAATGATAAAAAAACAATTACAAATAGAATTGATATAAAACATGAATACCTGCACCGAGATCGACGCTGGTTGTAGAGTCATCTGGTGGTAGTAATAAAAAAATAAAATAAGAAAAATGAGAAAATTATTAACACGCAATACCTACCTCCTGGTAGTGCTGGAACCGATGTATCAAGAATATGCGTTTGATTATCAATTTGCGCTTCCGAAGTAGCGTCCATGCTAACAGAGGGAGAATGCAAATGACGCGCAAAAATATTTTAAACAGAATGTGGATCTGAAAAATGGCAACACAACTCTAAAGATGTAATGCGCCAAAAAAAAAAAACTACCGTTGGTACGCCGGGTGATGGCTTTATATAGGTGTAAGAATATTGGCAATGCACAACCGGGATATAAACGATAAAAGAACTTACACACAATAAAAGTGGCGCAAAACAAATATGGAATATGGAAATAAGTGATATTGACAATGCGCAACAGAAATAATAATGCACAAGACGACGCAGTACACGATTCGGAAACCTTTTAAACCGAAATGTGCATTGTCTGGATATGCAAATTTAAAACAAATATGAACACATACACACACAAAATGAGAACGGAACAGAAAAGGATGGGGGCATTGCTTATATCCAAGACACGAACCAAAAATACGATTCTTCTTTCAACGAGCTTCAATGAAGTGACAAGTTCAGTCAGTTAAGTTTCAAAAATAAAATATAAAGGATCCTTATACCAATAATTTAAAAATGAAAAATAGGTTCGTCGCTTTTGCTTATTTCGTTCCTATTAAATACACATGTGTGGTTAGTTGTGCACTTCGCTTTGACTTAAAAGCTCAGTTTGTCCGTATGTACCGTAAAAATTTAAGCGTACTTAAGCTAAAGCGAAATGCACAACCAACCACACCTGTGTATTTGATAGGAACGAAATAAGCAAAGTTCGCCGCTTTTGATTACTTCATTCTTATCAAATACACAGGTGTGGTTGATTCTAAATTTCGCTATGACTTAAGTTCGCTTAAGTTCTTACGGTGCGTACCGACTAACTGAATCTAAAATCATATTATTAATATAAAATAAAAGTGACTTTCCTACTTTTAAAACGAATAATAGGTGAAATTAAAAGTTAGTATAATCAAAAGACAATATACATTTGTGCGGCAAAACGGTAAATAACTATGTACCTAACTATGTAGAAAAAAGTCACCACAAAAAATTAGCGATGGTAAAATGCAGACAAGAATAATTTCACAGGCAAGTCTGTTTTTTATCAACTGTGCTTTTGTAACCATTCATGTGATCGATTATTTAAATGATAATTTATGAATGAAGATAATTAAAAAAAAAAAACAATGATGAGAATATTTTTAGAAAAATAAATATTTGTACAGTGATTTACAGTTGTGGTCTGAATAAAATAATTATAGTGAAATATATATTTCATTACCCTCGTAATGTGAATGTGGTGACATATCAATATTTATTAATGATTTTTGGTTCCAGTAACGAAAGTGTTGGATTTCTATCTTTTAACCTTTATAATTATTAGTTCTGGAATTTAATAACTATTCTCTTTTACTGTATTTTAGGTTAGATGCCATTTAAATGTTTGTTGCCTCTGTGCTTTTACGATAGAAAACGATTCGTTTAACACATTTGGCACATATTTCAAAATTTAGTAATTTCCCTTATGGGAAATTTATTTTTAATGGTTCAATTCAATATTTTTCGCCTTAAATGAGCTGATTTATTGATAACGACCTCATTTATATGAAAGCACTTTGTATGGTAAGCCACTAATGCTCATTAGTGGCTATAATGTGCTATAAGAATTTATTTTATTTTTTTGGAATATGATATTTTTTGAAAAGTGATATTTTAATAATAATAATTTATAATCATTTATAAAAAAAAAATAATTTATTATTGGAAAATATTATTTTGAAGTGTGATATTTTTAAAACTAAAATTTATAATTTTATAGAAAATAATATTTTATGTTTGGTATAATTGATGGGTTAGCCATTGGTATGGAATAATAATTTATTTGGTTGAATTATAAAGGGAATTTGAAGATAATTTTTACTTCAAATTTGTTAGAACAGAGCGATGACAGTATTCAAACAAGCACTTGTGGTAATAAAAATTTCATCGGTCCAGTGGATCTGTCGTATAAAAATATGAATATGTCAAACCCTGCGTTGTAAAGCATACAAAGTGTGAAGAGGCTCTTCAGCTAGTGTATTTTAGACTTTTGCATTTAATATGGATGGTAATAACAAACTATAGATATGATTGATCTGTACCAATACCGCATTAAAGTCCTTAAAGACAGTTGATGATGGTACACATTATTGAAGAAGAGTATGTCATTAGTAAACTTTAATAGAGTGTTCAGTACATCATTAAGGATGAATTTAACGCCTCAGAACTGGTAGCCCCAAAAAAATGTTCTTTGGAGGTTGCTGCAAGGTTTCCTTCATGGTAAGTTCCATACATTTTATAATTACAATCAAACTTCCACAAATCGAAGCAATGTTTTGGAGAGAAATGGTTCAACTAACTTATGGAGACTTCAAGTTAAAGGACTTTCTTGAAATTGTGTTTTGCTCTCTAAACCCTGTTGCATTCTATTTAGTTCCGAGTTATAGAAAATTTGTGTCACACAAATTCAAGTTATGGTAGTTTAGCTGTGATACATTTTGTTTTATCTTTTCAGTAGTTAATAAGTCAAATATCTTAATAGAATCATATAAATATGCTTAAATAGCTAGAAAAGTAAGTATAATTATAAGTCAAATGTTATAGAAATAATAATATTAAAAAATAATTAAATATAGTATTAAGTTAAATAAAGATCCTTACGTACTTAAATAAAATTTTTGATTTTAGTTTTTTATTTTTTTTAAAAGTTTGATTTTAAAACTATACAAAGATATTTCTTCAAATATTATACGGTAACATTTGCGTACCTTTCGGACAGCATATGGATTCAAGACGATGTACTCAAAAACCGATACTTCAATATCTTTGAACGAATTGAATCACTAGTTATCCAAGATGAATAAAACAACTTGCAGACAGAGAGGACAATATTTGGGGGGATATCTTAATGCAAACTACCATAAGATTAAGTTTGCAACGTAATCGCGTTATTTTGTTATTGTTTCAACTAATGTCATCATTAATTTATATTTGATTGTATTTGATTAATAGTAAGCCATCACTTTGGAATCACCTTAAATGCCCATTATATTCTTCAAACTATTCATGATTTGTTTTGGTATTGATATAAACTTTTTATTAGGATTAACGTAGACTGAACTGCATCTAGAATTAACCAAATTTCAACATTTTTTACAACTACCTAATATTTGATCCAAACATTTATTCCATTTCGTTTAAAATGATATTTCATTAATCTTGATATACATTAATCTTGATATATAGTCTTTTTTATTATATTTAACCATTTGTGGCAATAAATCAAAACGGGGAGTTTAAGCACATATTTCGATAAATTGCAATAATTCCATTTATTACAATAAATTAATGCCAGTTTGAACGTGCTATTAGATACTCTTCATTCCTACTGTTATACGTGGGTGGTTTAATAAGTCAGTGACTTTTTGAATAAAACAAATTTTTTTTGGCAAATAAACATTTTATTTTTCTACATAATCAACTTTTAGCTCGATAGATTTAGTCCAGTGTTTTTCTAATTTTCTTACTCCCTCCAAATAATAGGTTTTCTCAAAGCTCTCAAAATACGCGTTTGTTTCGGTAACGACGTCTTCATTCGACTCAAAACTCTTACCGCCCAGCCATTTCTTTAGGTTTGAAAACAGAAAATAGTCGCAGAGGGCTAAATCTGGAGAATATGCTGGATGGGGTAGCAGTTCGTATCCCAATTCATGGATTTGGGATCGTAATGCTTAATCAGCACACGAAATTCAGTTTTTTCCATTTTCGTCAAAATTCATGAGGTTGTCTGCTTTGAACGGCTATCAAACACTAACTGAACGACGTAGCTTGCTTAAAATTAGAAAGTTGCCTACTGGTAGATTACAGCTGACGGCAGCACTGTTGCATTTGAAGTAACTGTGCGGGAAATTCAAAAAGTCACCGCCTTAGTATTATTATACAACATAGATCGGTAAACTTCTTATAACAACTATCTATTAGAATATAAAATGCAATTTATATACAATATTACATATTATTTTTATTAAATAATGCAGAACTCCGTCTCCTTATATTATTGAAACAAATTTCATTTTTTTGTTGTAAACATTTGCGTATTTATTTGATTTGAGTTTATATATAATATGTAAATTTTTATGTAATATTAATATTATATCATTAATTATTTTAGCTGTAAGAGGATAAAAACTGTTCGATAAATTTAATTTTGTTGCTGTGTTTATAATCGCGCGTCCATCAAAAATGTAAAATACATTACTTTTTTTTTTATTTTTTAATTATTATGTTTTTTTTCTATAACATTCAAATGTAAATTTATATTAGTTTAATACTTTTTTGCTTGCTTCTCGACGATTCGTTTACTAAGTTTCTGAAATTAATATTTTATAAATATTTTTGCTGTAAAATAATTTTTTTTTACTTTACTTTACTTTTCTTTTTTGTATAATAATATTTAAATTTCACTTACGACTATAATTTATACCCTGTATTATTTTATTAAATCTTAAATTTCAAATGGAATTTGAAAATTAAAAAATTTTAATTAAAATAAAAATGCGAATTTTTGATGTGTTGATTTTTATAATTTTTTTTTTTTATAAAAACTATGTGTATTATATATTTATTTGCAATATATGTATGTTTAAAAATATGTATGTTTGTATAAAGCATGTTGGTGTTAAAACTAAAATTTTATAACTAAAAATGTAATAATGAAAAATTGAAATAAAAGTGTAAATGTCTGTTGTTCCATTAATTGGACATCTAAATTACTTCTTAAATAATAAGTTTGATTTGATTGCAAATGTATATTTTATAATAAAAATAGAACATTTTAACAATCAGTATCGTACCAAGCGGCCAAATTATTGTTGTCATTTGGTGGAGTTGGCATTGCGCCCAAATCAAAATTTAATGCACCAGCATCAATTTCCCCAACGTCCATATCCATTGAATATGGTGATGTTGGAGCTCCGCTTGGTGGTGCGCCACCTCCGCCGCCACCTACTGGACTGCTGATTTCAAGTCCTTGCATTGAATCTATTGGTAGAGTATCATATCCTGTTTAAGGTTGAAAATATGAAATTATTATTTTTGTAAAAATATTTAAATAATTTTTTTTTTTTTGATATAATGTGCAAAAAGATATATATATTATAATATTGCAATATATTAACTATATTTTATTTAGTTAAATCTAAACTTTAGGCATGCAAGAAACAATATCATAAACTTTAAACAATTTTATGCAAAAAATTTGAGTTTAAAGCTACTATGTGTAATTTTTATTTGCCTTGAAAAAAAAGTGTATATATAGAGTCAAACTTTCATAACTCGAAGTAACCTTTTGCAAAGAAAAGGTTCCACTTGTGGAGACTTCGAGTTAAAGAACTTTTTTGAAATTGTATGTAATTTGCTCTCTAAAACCCTGTTGCACTCCTTTAAGTTCCGAGTTATATAAAATTCGTGTTATAGAAGTTTGATTCATGGAAGTTTGACTGTGTATATATGGTAAAGCGTATAGTAAAACACGATTCTATTGACCATTTTAAATAAAAATTACTATTTTGATTTTGATTACGCGTATTTTTTAAAATAAATTGATTTATTGATTTCACTCGCAGAAAATCCACTATAACTATAACTAATTAATCCTCACTTTATCAAAATCCAATATCAATTGCTAAAGATATAGGAAAAAACGATATAGTATATATCTGAATAGGAAAGAAAGCCCTGTATAGATAAGATAAGATATTTAGTTACTAAAAATTCAAGCCTGATTTATTACTTTAGGTTTCTACTTCTCTTAAATATCATTCAATCAAACCGTAATGTATCCAAATATTACCAGAAATTAGAGGTGGGCACCCAAGTACATTATTTGGCACAACCAGAAAACCAGCATGCGCTAACCAATATATGGTACACTCTGTTTCAACTGCCCAATAACTTTCATGATGTTATCTTCTTGCGAGTCGGGTTGGCATTGATATCTATTATCTACTATTTTACTTAGAAGTCTACACTGTTATGATCAATATAAAAAATTAATTATTTGTCACTTTTGGTTCTTACAGAGCTCCAATCATTTTTGAAGCATAACGTTATAACTGACTGAAATTTTAGCATTTTAATTAATTAAATATTTAACTAAATAAGGTCTATTAAATTTATCAGTAACCTTAAATTGTTCAAACTAGCTTTTTAAACTTTATTCAATAAAAATACAATAGATTTGATCAATCGTGATGCACCATTATTCCTTCTTATAAAAATAAGTTATTTAATGAAATGGTAAACACAATCTTTCGAAGTCTGCAAAGGCAAAAGTGATTGCTATAAGGAAAGCTATAGCTTGTCTGAAAGTAGATGATATACTTGATAGAAATATATACATACTATCAGGCAGTCAAGCTACTTTAAAGTCCTTGAACTCAGTCCAATTTACATTTAGAATAGTCTTTGTCTGGTACATATTTCTAAATGAAATGTCGACGCAGTTCAATATTTTCCTAAGCTGGGTTCCAGATCATAAGGATTTGCGGCAATTGCAAAGCTAGACGGGGTGCTTCAGGAAACCATTTGGAACACCTAAGACATCATGCAAACTGGCACTGAACTCTTCCTGTGCCGAAGTTTTTAACAAAAGATGGGAAGACTCAACGATATGCAGGCATCTGTATGCAATTTAGCCACGCTCAAATAAAAGAAAATGAAACTCTCTTATTGAGACACCCCGTAGAGATATCAGTCTTGTAGTAGGCTTATTACAGGTCATTGGATTTTAGGTAACCATGTTAGGAGACTAAATCATCCTTTCAACCATACCTGCCGCAATTGTGGAGAGGACGACGAAAGTGTCTGCCATTTTCTTTGATTCTGTCCAGCAAATGCGCGGCGTCGCCTTATCAATTTTAGGGCTTTCCTTTTTGAAAATCTTGGCGAACTGCATGACTTCTCTCTGAACAGCATTATAAGCTTTGCTAAAGGTTCTATGTGGTTCTAACCATTGAGTTTTTAATTATACGATTCCATAGGCTCGTCGGTTTAACCTAATCAGTACAGAGAATCTGCTTTACTTTCTGATGGAATTGAGGAAGGGCAACTGATAGTTAGATATTCACCAAAAATAAGCAATTGATCTGATCAATCAATCAATCAGAGAGAGATAATCGATTTAAAAAAATGTATGTTTCAATAGAAATAAAATAGTTTTTTTTTTAAATTTTTTACGTGCACAAAAATCAAAATTTACATGCAAAATATATACGTGTATGCAGTTCTATACTATATAAAATCGAAGTAAATGTGAATATATTTGTTATATACAAACACTTATTGGGATTAGGCATGCATTTTTCTTTGCAAGCAAAATTAAAATTTGCAATAAAATTGAACTCGAATTTATAAAAAGAAATTAAACAAAATTAAAATGCTTTTTATTATTTGGAACAGAAGAAACAATGTTATTAAACTAAAAGTAATATAATTATAATAATTTTTAATTGCAAATAATTTATTTAATCACCTATTTTTCTTGAAGGACGCCGGTACTGAAACATTTCTCTGAATAGGTGTACGTGTGAATAGGTGTCTGTGATATTGTTTTTTCAATTAATAATTTGTGTTACGTACTTTTTTTAAAGCTCTAATTTTCATGTTTGAACATAATATTTAATCATTGATTTCATTAAATGTATAAAATTATTTAATTATATGCAATGGAATCGCTACTTTGGTTGGTACTATATAAGGTAGTCACTATTTTAGATAATGTAGTATATTGTTTTGTTTTAATTTCATTATTTTATTTTATTTTTTTCTATGTTAGAATATGTTTAATTGCAAAATTTAATTATCGGAGGTTAAAAAATTAGCTTAGTTTTGTGATATATGTTATATATTAGTTGGCTTAACTAAAATAATTAACCACACATGAATTTTATATATATAATTTTTTTTTTTTTTTTGTTTTTGAATAATACATATAAGTTAATTTAAATTTATTTTTAAAGAAAAAAAATATCCGCAATTGTTTAAATTTACCGGACGAGCGAGTGGGCAAGTAGAGAAAGAAAAGTAAATATATTTGTTAGATTATTTATTGTTAGTCGTATATCAAGATTTGATTACATTTACTATATATTAATGAATGAGTGTGAATAAATAAAAAAAATTTAATTTTCATGTTTTCGAGGTGTAATTGTCATTAGCAAAAAAATTAAAAACTTCTTAGTAATTTTTTAAATATTTGAATAATAAAAGATAAATTAATCAATGACGTTTAGGGTTGACATATTGAAGGGCTTTTGCAGGGTCTTAGGGTTTGACTGGGTATATAAATTGAAAACATTGTGCTTAGCTATAAGTTATTACACATCAAAGTAAAAAGTATTTCCATATATTATATATAAATTTAATGTTTTTTTTATTTGATTTTAATATCAATATTTGTCGCAATTAGTTATGGAAATAATCTTTGGTAACTTGAACAATTGAACACTTTTCAAAATTAATTTTAAATACTTTAGCGCATAATCTTTTTAACATGTTTACGTTACAAAACTTTAAAAATATTTAGGATAATATAAGTTATTAAATAATAAATCAAGCCCAAAAGTATTTTAAATTTTAATAAAGAATTTCTGTCACCAGAGCAGATAAAGAACTCTTCTCTAGATTTAGACTTTACTCACAAAGCTTTAAGGGGCTTTGTGTAATCAATAGTGAAACTGGTACAATAGGACTCTTCTGGCTGCAGTACCGGCTGTTGGGCAAGTTTCACGTCTACTCTTTATTATTATTATTATTATTATTATTATTATTTTAAATTTTAAGTCATATAATTTTTTTATGGTTCATTAAACAGCCGTGAAGTCTGTGATACAGATTCACACTTCAACCTAACCTACTATAACCTATTTTATTAATCCATTTGCAATCGGCGCTTAAGTCACATATATGATAAAATATAATAGCAATATAAACTGTAATTAAATCGTAAATATATGCGAAAACCTATATCTTAGATCTAAATACGGAACTTGTCCAAGAAAACATATATTTAATCTTATGGGTACATCTAATATCAGCTTCAGAAATGATAGCATGAAACCACTTATAACATTAAAGAATGAGAATTTAGTTTCATTAATACATTTAACGTTTGTATTATCTTTACTAAAACAAATACTAATTTTAATAATTGATTCAAAGTTAAAGAATATTTAACTACTAAAATTTATTTTTCATTAACTAATTTCTATTTATTTTTTTTTATTTGCTATATTTTATTTTTATTTATATAAAATATATTTATTTTATTTTCTATTTATTTATTTCATTTTCATTTATTCATTTAATTTTCATATACTTTTATTTTTTATTTTTTTTAATACTTTTTTTTTAACACTTTATTTTTTTTTATTTATTTTAACTTTTTTTTATTACTTATTTATTGATTATTTATTTTTTCATTTTATTTTATTACTTATTTATTTTTCTTATATTATATTTTTTTATATTTTAAATTTTTTTAATATTATAATACAGTAGACTCTGAGTAAAACGAAAGATATAATGCCAAGGATTTTCGTTATTTCGAATACATTTCATAACCGACATTCGTTATTTAGAAAGAACATTTCAAGTTATATTAAGAATTCACTTAACCAAGAGTCCACTGTACACATTTCAACTTTCTACATATTATTATTATTTATATATATATATATATAATTTTTTTTTCAGTGTTTTATATGAACACTAACTCTAAGCTTCAAATTTGGCAGGG